GCGGGCGGGCGGGCGGGCGGGCGTGCGTGCGTGCGTGCGTGCGTGCGTGCGTGCGTGCGTGCGTGCGTGCGTGCGTGCGTGCGTGCGTGCGTGCGTGCGTGCGTGCGTGCGTGCGTGCGTGCGTGCGTGCGTGCGTGCGTGCGTGCGTGCGTGCGTGCGTGCGTGCGTGCGTGCGTGCGTGCGTGCGTGCGTGCGTGCGTGCGTGCGTGCGTGCGTGCGTGCGTGCGTGCGTGCGTGCGTGCGTGCGTGCGTGCGTGCGTGCGTGCGTGCGTGCGTGCGTGCGTGCGTGCGTGCGTGCGTGCGTGCGTGCGTGTGCGTGCGTGCGTGCGTGCGTGCGTGCGTGCGTGCGTGCGTGCGTGCGTGCGTGCGTGCGTGCGTGCGTGCGTGCGTGCGTGCGTGCGTGCGTGCGTGCGTGCGTGCGTGCGTGCGTGCGTGCGTGCGTGCGTGCGTGCGTGCGTGCGTGCGTGCGTGCGTGCGTGCGTGCGTGCGTGCGTGCGTGCGTGCGTGCGTGCGTGCGTGCGTGCGTGCGAGCGTGCGTGCGTGCGTGCGTGCGTGCGTGCGTGCGTGCGTGCGTGCGTGCGTGCGTGCGTGCGTGCGTGCGTGCGTGCGCGTGCGTGCGTGCGTGCGTGTGTGTGTGTGTGTGTGTGTGTGTGTGTGTGTGTGTGCTGCATAAACTCCTGTTTGACCTGCGCCAGGTCTTTGGGCCACATCATCTAGCCTTTGGGCCGATCCCGGAGCGCCCCGCAGATGGCAGGACGCCCAGCCGTTTCCATTGAAAGCAGTGTGCGCCATGCATGACATCACGAGCATCCGCAGGTAAGAGTGCCTATCAGTCCGTCGGCAGTGGAAAAAGCACTGAATTGCGACTTGCAAACTAAATTGATCTAAATTGCCAGGATGTGTCCAGGCTGGGATCCCTTTCGGGCTGGCAAGCCAAATGGACAGCATCATGAAGCCAACCGTGTGAGTCCAACGAATGTTTGACACATAGCCGACTGGCCGACATGTCCCCCGCGGCCGAATTTGGCGATTCTTGCGTGATGCCTGTTGCCTCAGGCGTTATTTTGCACTGCCTGACAAGCAATAGGCAATCATCAACATCGCTCTGGGCAAATTGATGACATTAAAGCACCTTCATGGAGCTAAACAATTACCTTGCACATTAGCTGTTTAAAACTTATCGAGATCCATGTCGGCCACTGACAACTTCTTCCTTATAAACCTTGTGTCTCTGAAACGGGCCTTAAACACGTACCTTTGCTTTCCCTTCACCAGCTAACCTTAGCCAAACCATACGAACACAGGATCGGCTGCTAAGTTTTGAGCTGTGTGGAGAGGCGTGGTCGAAATGAGTGGCTTGAGAGGACACAACAAATAGCGAGTCCACGGCCCCTCGGTTTTGCGAGGGAATTTAGTGCGCATGTCCGACCAGAAAGATTGAGCTTTCGACAGGATCAAGAACTGTCAAAGGCCATCGGAACCAGAGACCGGCATGGTGGCTCAAAATTTCAGTTAGGGACTTGGAAACCTGGATTCTGGCTGAAACCAAAATCCAAAACTGGCTGACAGGAATCCGAAACCATTGGGTATCAAAGCCCTGCACAAGTTGTCAGGAACTTGGGTGTCGCAGTCATGATCATATGTCTGTTTTCAACATCCTCTGCCGATCACAAAACGCGAAGCAGCATCATGAGTTGGATGGCTGCCAGGATAGTACCGACTCGCACCAGAACGAGGACTCCAGCACACAAAGCGGGGCTTCACGATGGGAAAAAACGGTGCCCTGCAGCAGCGTGGGGAACCACGTTTTGTCTCGGGGGTATTGGATCCGCGAGGCCAAGGCCAGCAAGCTAGTCCATCTTATACCAACTCATAGCAAAAAAAAGAAGACGTCAGGACCATTTGGGGAAGGCACGCAAAAGGAAGCCAAAGCAAGAATCTCTGTGCTTAGGAAAACACCACAATCACCCTTCACCCCAATGGGAAAACACGCAACCCATGCGTTGTAAGTATTATACCCAAATTCCGCTTCGCAAGCCTTGGCAAGGGAGAAAGGGCCTGAAGAAGCAGGCAGGGAGCAAAAAGTCGGGGAAGGGAAGGGACAAAGGAAGGCCGGCCTTCAGTGGCCATGGTCATGCCCGTTGCCGTTCTCGGGCGTTATGACCTTGTCGTAGGCCTGGCTGTCAGCTTCGGCCCCACTTTCCACTGGCCAAGGTGACCTTCAGATTCAAAAGGGAAAATACTGTGGATGGTTGCGAAATCCATTTCGCACCACCGTTCGGGAACCCTGGTGTCTGATAAACAATGGTTTCAGCCGTGGTTCGTTTCGTGGTGCGGTTTCTGGAGTCCGCAACCATCCGCAGTATGGGGAACCCCGAGCTCGGCCCTAAAACAAAAACAAGTGGGAGTGTCAGGGAACCTTGCGGGTAACCCTGGTCACTCTTGAAGCATTAAGGTTCAACAGGGCGGACTGGTGTCACTCTTCGGAACCAGCCACTCAAGTTGAACGAACAAGTTAGAAAACTCCTCCGCTTTTGGATTCAGCATACCATGCCGTGAGCGTTTACTGGAGACCTCCCCGGCAAAAGGTACCAACCCATAGCTCACCGTGTGGGACAAGTAAACAGCTCTTCGCTTCACAAGGACGCCTTGGCTGATGAACACTATGATCAACACTAGGCGCTCTTGACGTGGAGCTACAGTATCTTTTCCTAAGCAACGCGTGGCTTGGCGACCACACAATTTGTGGGTGGGTGGGTGGGTGGGTGGGTGGGTGGGTGGGTGGGTGGGTGGGTGGGTGG